GCCCATTAAGCTCTGGTTGTGTTTTGGGTCTCTGAGTTCTGTTATGAAACAAGTTTGGGGGAGGGAGGTGGTGATTCACTGTGTCGCTTGGCCTTCCGTGTTTCTGCTCAGGACAAACTCCTGCACACTCTCAGATCATCAATAAATGGGTCTCATGCCTGCAGCCTGAGTTACAAGTTCAGGAAGAAACTGTGAAGGCGGTCCTTACCTTACTCCTCAACCAGAAGACCAGCGGAGGACGTGTTTCATTTAAGATAACCCCAGACCAAGTCTATCTGCCGAGTTGCTCAGAAGAACTGACCTTTCCATTTTCTAGAAGACCTAGGAGTCTTCTAGACCAGCCAGCTATGTTGGCCTTGGTGTCTTGCCTTTCTTTAATTCTTTTAAAGTCCACAAGCAATTTGTGAATATATTCTCCATTTAAAATATTGAACAATAGCCCTGCCTGGTGTGGCTCAATGGATTGAGTGCTGGCCTGTGAACCAAAGGGTCACTGGTTCAATTCCCAGTCAGGGCACATGCCTGGTTGTGGGCCGAGTCTCCAGTAGGGGGTGCTCAAGAGGCAACCACACATTGATGTTTCTCTCCCTCTCCTTAAAAATAAATAAAACCTTTTAAAAAATCAAACAATACTAGGTACTTAGGAAAAAATGTGAACACCCCCTCCACCCCACCCTCCTGCTCAGAGGTAATCACCGATAATATTTCCACATGTGTAATATTTCCACGTAAGCACTTAGAAAGTATTTTTTAAAAATAAAGGTCACTCCCTTCCTAACCCCAAACCTCCACAGGCCTTCCTTCCTCTTACCCACGGCTTGCACATACAACGTGAAAATTTTCACAATGCAAGATCTTCACCTAGTACTCAAGTCTGCACTTTTAGGGTTTAGGTTGCGGGTTCAACAGGAGCAATTTGTAAGTACCACTTTCAAGGAGCTTGTATTTAAGTTTAGGACACTTTCATTACCCGGTTATAGGCAATGTCATACGGGCCCTGTGACAAGGGAAAATGGAAATCGTAGAGAAAAAAATAAGCTGTTCCCCCAAAACCAACAGCAAATTTAAGCCCACATTTGCCACAAAAGCCCAAAATGCTCACAAATGCTGTTCATGTGTCACTGCTATCGTTCAGTGACACATTCAGCATTTAGAGGCCAAAGTTTCCAGAGTGAGCATGGACTTTGGGAGGATGCTAAGCTACCCACTGAATGAGTCACTAAAACAGCTCCCTACTCACTTTCGGTGGCCACAGGCCTCTTGCCTGTCTGCAAACCGTCTTTCCTTTGCCCTTCCTGGATGTGTGTTGGCTTTGACCTTCTTTTCCTTCCCCAGAGCCAGCAAGGGAGCTCCGCGGCCTCTCCTCTGCATGGCACCTGCCAACTCCTGCCCGGGTGTTCCCTGCTCCAAGCTCTCTGGCAACCTGGTGCCCTGGCAGACGACCAGGCCCAGATCCTGTTTGTCCTGCACAGGACCTGAGGTGACCCGGGCAGTTTCCCAAGGGGAAGACTTGAGGCACCATGCAGCTCTCGTGAAAAAAAAAAAAAAAATGTGGCCGTGCCTTGCAAAACGGGCCACCTCCTCATGGGCCTCCATCAGCGAGCCCCCCGTTTACAAGGAGAATCAGGACTGCAGTTTTACAGGAAAGGAGATCCTCGGTGCTCTCTCACGTTCTCAAGGGCATCCTTGATGCCACAAAGGAAGCATAAGAACCTCCGACTTTAAGCGTTAGGATCTCTTCTGCATTTCAGCACTGGCCAGAGGTCAGAGCTAAACTGGTTCTTCATCCATTCCCTCGTTAGAATAAAGGCCGCGGGGCCTGAACTGAACGTGATCCGCACTGAACAGGAACAGGATCCCCCAGGATGGATCCTTCATCAGCGCAGATCACAAGATGAGCCTGCACCTAAGTCCTGAGGCTTCTTGGGGAAACGCCATGGTTGAACTATGGTTCAAGGTTATGACCTTGGCCTTTTGCCGTCAGGCTGTTTTCAGGATCACATTGCTGACAGAAGCCAAGGTGACTCGAGTAGAGTTTTTGGAGAATGAGAGACAGCACTCACCCGTGGGACTGCTGGACAATCCCCAAGTCTCCCTCGGGCAGAACAGTCAGCCACACAACACCGTTTCCAAACACCACCTCCTCCTCCTGACCTCCTGTGGTGGCTGAACGGCAGCCCCTCAAAAGTGTCTCCATTCAGAACCTGTGACTGTGGCCTTATCTGGACAAAGGGTGCTGAGGGATGTAATTAACAACCTGGCGACCAGATCTCCCTGGAGTAGAATGAGCCCTAAACCCAGGGAGAAGAAAGGCATCTTCATAAGAGGGGAGGGGCAACGTGAGGACACAGGCAGAGACCAGAGAGATGTGTCTACCGGCCAAGGGACACTGGCAGCCACCAGACACTGGGACGGAGTCATGAAACGCATCCTCCCTCAGAGCCTCTGGGAGGAACCAAACCGTGAACGGCTGGATTTCCGACTTCCAGCCTCCAGACCGTGAGAACACATTTCTTTTCTCACGGGCCGCCCAGCTGGTAACTTGTTGCGGGGGCCCTGGCAGGTGAACACGCCCCCTCTTTCTGTGGGCGTACCGCATCCTCCCACTTCCACTTCTGCCCCTCTTCTGTCCATTCTCAACACAACAACTGGCATTCTGCTAAAAGCGCCCGACGGCTGTCCCCCTCTCCCGGTGCTGTCCCCGTCACTCCTCCTCGGTGGGCACGCTCGGAAGGTCAGGTAACCACATGGCTCCTTGCCTCGCCCCCTTCAGCTGTTCATGTAAAAATCCCCTCTGCCCTGGCCGGGCACCTCAGCTGGTTACAGCACTGCCCTGATAGTCAACAATGAGGGTCCAACCCCTGATCAGGGCACATACAAAGATCAGCCAAGTAATATATCAATAAGTGGGAAAACAAATTGTTTCTCTCTCTCTCCCTACCCTTCTTCTCTCTCTTTCTCTCTCAAATTATTATTACTTTAAATCCCACCTGTGCCCTGGCCAGTGTGGCTCAGTTTGTTGGGCGACGTTCTAGGAAGCAGAAAACCACCAGTTCAATCCCCAGGGCACATGCCTGAGCTGCAGGTTTGGTCTCCGGTCGGGGTGCAGACGAGAAGCAAGTGATCAAACTGATGAATGTTTCTCTCTCCCGCCGACGTTTCTCTCTTTCTTTCTCCCTCCTTTCCCCTCTAAAAATAATACTAACAATAAATAAAATCTAAGAAATGAAATCCCCTCTGTGAGATGTTCACTGACCACCCTGTTTCAAACTGCACCAGCCACGCTCCCTCGCTGCCTCCTTAATTTTCCCCCCCAACGACGCACTACCACTTCATGTGCTATGCCTCATAGTTACTTATTTCACCTTTTTGTCTGTGTGCCCCACCCCCTTAGTGGAATGAACAAATGAATGAATGAATGACTTGGTGAACTCTACATCACCTTCAGCTCTTCCACCTCAGGTCTCACTCCCCACACCTCAGACTTGCCAGTTCTTCATTTTGGATGGCCTCAAACCTGCCCCCTTCTCCTTTCCGTCACTGCTACCGCCACCCTCTTGCCCAGTGACTCATGAGTTGGCTTCCTAAAGAGTCTAAATAATGCCTTGGGTCTTCTCCCCTCGGCATAGCCTAAACCCTACATTGCCACTATCATGGTCACGTCCCTGATAATAGGGCTTTGCTAATATCTCTCTTCAACAACAACAGAAAAACAGAAAAGGGGGGAAAGCCCGCAATGGCTCTGAAAGACTCCATTAGGAGGGACCTGAATCTTCCTCTTCATGCTTTTCTGTTGTTCTAATTCTTCTACGTTAAAGGCATGCTCTTCTTATTAGAATAAGCTGTTGAAGCTAAACACCCCCCTCCATGGTCCCCTCTTGTTTACAGGACAGCCCTCCAACCACAGTGCAGGGCCCCCCCCATCCGGGGTCCTGAGCGCCCCTCTCCTTCCCTCTGACAGGCCCACCCTCTCCGTGCAGGCCAAGCTGAACCGCAGCCCGACCTCGCCTCAGTGAGAAAGTCTCCCTTGGACCCCATTAAAGGAAACCAGATGCGCCAGGCCATTCCCAGGCACGAGGGGCTGCGGACGTGGTCAGATGGAGCACATATGTTACAGTCGCACATCTGACCGAGCAAGAACTCCCAAACGCAAGCACTCCGGGGCTCGGTCACGTTCCTCATTCCCGAACCCTGGATGCCTTCCCCACACTCTGTTCTTCGTAACTTGAGTTGGGAACATTGCACTGATCTCTCTCGCTGCTTTTTTTAACGCTGGCACGATCACTATGCTTTTACTATTCAATAGACCGTACGAAATCTAAAATGCAAGCCCTCCTCTGAAGATAAATGAAATTGATTTTTCAAAACCGTTTGGATTCACCAGAAGCAACTGCCTTTTAACACTTGTCTGAACCCCTACCTAATTATTTTTAGGGCTTTGGGCTAGAAAGCAAATTGCATTATGTTCTTCTAAAAGTATATACTTACACAACCGTCTGTAATCCCTTCAAAGCAATCTTCGCAAGTCACTACTGGAATACATAACGTTATGAATTCTATTCGATCATAGAATTACAGGGCTGGAAGTGATCTTGAGAGCTGACAGAGCCCAGAGCTGACAGATCTCCACTGTCCTCAAAACCACATCTGAACTACGCCAGAAAATAAATGACCAAATGTATTTGTTCCAAAATTCCTTTCCGCTTCCACCTCCCCAGGCCGTAAAAATATTTTTCATGTAGAAGGGGAACAAGTCCACAAACTTTTAAATCCAAAAAGGGAACTGGGAAAGAACTCTCCAGGGCCGGGGCCCATGATGATGCACCTCGCTGTGCACATCTGTAGGAATGTCACGAACCTCATGTGGATCCTCCGGGCCCCTTGCTTTGTCCCTAGGTCACCAGAGAAGCCACTGAAGCCAAATGCAGTCAACTCAGTTGACCCCACTCACATAACAAGACAGAAGCGAGCAGAAGGAAGAGACAATCTGTGACCTTTATATTAAAACAATGGCTTCTTATTACCAAGGCCAGGCTAATTCTACCTTGGGCAAATGCAAAGCTTTTTTAAAATTATTATTTTTAAACGTGGTCAAGGCAGGTCAGGCCCCACACAGAAATGAAATGTGTGTCCACTAGATGCCCAGCATCACCTTCATGGCCACCGAGCCCTCGATCCCGGCCATGCTTGCCTTTCCCCTCTCTCCTCAGCCATTCAGCCCCACAGAACCTTCCACCGCCCCTCAGTCGGAACAGCCACACAGATGCACTCAGCCTTCATTCATCCAGCCGGTGGGTTTGGAGGTCCTCCTGCCCTGAGCACTTTACATGATGCGCTTTCCTCCCATCCTTGCAGCAGGACTGTGATGTGGGTACCGAGATAACCATCGACGATCGATCGTTGCTCAGCTGACGAAGGAATGGAGGCACAGAGCAGTGCAGTCACTTCCCCGCAGTCACACAGCTGGTGAGTAAGCAGTACATGGAACAGACCTGCACCCAGGAAGTCCAGCTCCCCTGTGGCCACGTTGTCAGGCTGTCTCACTGGGTTCTCGCACAGGCCTAGGGACCCCTGGTGGCTGCTCCCAGCAGCGTTAGGAAGAGGAAGGGAGCAGGCCTGGTCTCCTCTGGGGGTGGGGAATAGCTTCTCCAAGGGCAAGACCGTGAAATTCAGGCTAGTGCACAGGAGAGCCAGCCATGGAGAGAGACAGAGAAGAACGCTTCAGTCTGGGAAATAAATCCATCCATCCATCCATCCATTCACTTGTTCATTCAGGGTCTGACACCAAACGGCCAGGGAAGGCTGCTTGCTGGGAGGCGTTAACCGGGCAGCCCACTCCCCCGCAGGAAGCAGAGGTGGGTGTTGGAGTGCTCATTAACCCTGGAACTATTCACCCGCCCCTGAGTTCCTCACCGGAAGGCACTTGGCAGGCGAGGCCGACTCTGGATGAAGGTCCTTCCCTAGATTTATTGGTCACGGCTTTCTCTAAGAAAAAAGGCCCAGGGAGTGCAGAGGGATGGGTGAGCTGAGGTCCACGGCTGGGCTCTGGGGAGGAGGCCACCCCAGAGACCAGATGGAAGTGGTGTCTCAGCCCCGCAGCCCGCCACTCCGTCCTCCCTGTGACCGCCCAGTGTAGGACTTACACGCTTAAAAACAGGACCAGAGGGGAGGCCTCTGTGCTACTACGTCCTGTTGCTCTAGGCAGCGGACACCGGGGGTGCGTCAACGGGGCACTTTCTACATGTCTTTCTTCCATTTGAATTTAAAAGTCCACTTAAACATCACGCAACGCTGTTTACTTCCTAGTCACCATATGGCAAAGATATCTGAGCTATAGGACCTCTGAGAGTAGCCAGTCCAGCACTGACCAGCGGGTGTTCTGTGGAACCCTGGCCCCGAGACATGTTCTGCTAAGAAGAAACAGACGTCAGGTCAAACTGACAAAGGCTGCACACTATTTATTTTAGGGGCTTGCAACGGCAGCTCCAAACGGAGCTCATCGGTTTTAACACATCCCTGCCGCCACCACCTGGTAAACCTTCTCCAGCAGTACCTCTCGTCCTGTATTCCGGACACAGGAACCACACTGTCCATCCGCCCACTGGTGCAAGCCAGGGACCGGGAGGTTCTTTCAGACTCCTCTCTTTCCCTCACCTCCTGCAATTACCTCTCCAGTTTTTTTCTCAAATCTGTATACTCTTGCCCCATTTTCACTGCCGCCACTCAGCATTGCCAGTATCTCTCCTCAAAAACACTACAGGCCTCCTAACAGCTCTGCCTCCATCTGCCTGTTCTCTACCGAGTAGCCAGGAAGGTGTCTGCAATAGCTTTTTGTCTACCTTGAAATACTGTTCAAACCCTGCCCCTCAACAAGACATTGAAGGTCCACTGCCATCTGGCATCAGCCTGGACTTGGACCAGTTTTGTGACATTTCACGCTCTTGCCCCAGCCACGCTTCCCACAGCCTGGGCAGCTCCAACCACCCGCCCCCCCTCTGGTCTCTTTGAGACCGAGCCCTGCTGCACGTTCCTGGTTCCCCTCTATCACTCCCTAGGCACTGGCTTGCCTTGCTCAGCGCCTACTCTCTCCACAGAATGAACTCTAATGGACAGAGGCCGTGTCTTGACTAGGGACCTCTACCTCTCGGGAAGTCTAGTTTAGAAGGCATCCTGTAAATGCATCTGAATAAATAATAATAGGCAAAGTAAAATAAAACCAATCCCTGCCCCTTTTATACTGCACGTAACTCAGAATCTCCCAAATGAAACGGTCCACAAAATTCTTTTCTCGTGTAGCCCACCAGACCTGGCTTCTCAGAATCCTCAGGGCGAAAGCGGCTCCAGCCCAAGCCTCTCGTCTCACAGCAGATCCTGAGGCTCAGAGAGGTGAAAAGAATGACCCAGTTAGTCAGCCCTTCAGGTAACCTGCCCCACCTTTTACAGGATGTGGCTCTGGGGGAAGTTGTTTACTTTCTCTGATATTTATATATCTGTATCTACCTGATGGGGGGGTTTTGAGGGTGAAATGAGATAATACCAGCAAAGCTCTTAGCACAGTCCTGGGCAGGGCAGTAAATCCCCATAAACATTACAGAGAGCAACTTAACTTGGGTCCCACAGACCTAAAACTAAGACTATTTCTGTAAAGATCTAGGGCTAATAAACGCCTCCCTGCCCAAGTGACCTCTGTCATCAGTCCTTGTTCTGATAGTTCATGTTATTTTCCCCTAGGTCAGCAGGGGAGGAAAAAAATATCTTTTCCTCCACCTTCTCCTGTTCAGTGTCTGGGGGCCGATGAATTAAGCGAACAAAACACTGAGCTGTAAGGAAAGCAGTGGAGTTTATGTATGAATGTAAAGCTCATACATACTGGAGCGTCCACAAGGCAGTTAGCACACCAAGCCGCTACACCTAACTTGGCAGGGAAAGGAAAGGGAGAGAAAAGGCCAGGGTGGAAGGAACAAATAGGTTTTCTTAGCAAAGACAAATGGACATTCAGAACAACAGAGGTAGGAAAGCTTGTGATAATGTTGTTGCTACGGGTTTGAGTGGCCTTTCCTGTCTTCTTCAGAGCCATAAAATTTCCCTAGAGAGGGCATTTATGAGTAGACCCACCCAAGCAGGGAATATATAGCAGACTGATTTCCCAGAACTTGCTGCTTTTGGCCAGATAAGGGGAACTCCCAGAAGCATTTTTGGGGCTTTAGAAAACATTATTTTTTTGTTGTTGTTCATCTACTGATTCTTAATTGCCTTCAGCTCGAAATAATCGTATGCCAAAGTGGCATATTTTGGGTGGTATATCCTGATTCCTTTTAAGTCCAATAAGAATTACAAGTGGGGGGAAAAGCTGATGTATTCTTCTAAATTCTAAAGATAAAGATATCCCCAATGTGATATAAATGAGATAATATAAAGAAAAGAGTAAATTATTGTACAAACTACAATGATTGCTATTATAAATATTGCCACCTTAATCAAGGACAAAAATCCCAAAATTTATAAGGCTGTCACTAGGGCAATTGTCTACCTTTAAAATATAGCATTTGGTATCATTCCTAATATCTTTCTTACTATATTGCCCTTCTTAGATTATATATGTTTGTTAAATCTCCAAGTCAACTAGCTTGGACTTTAGAAATCTCTAAGCTTTTTGTACACACCATTTTCTCTAGGACAATTATTAAGTATCTTTTATTAAATTTGAGGTTTTTTCCATTTTTCTGAAATTCTCAAGCCAGCCTCAATGTTCCCAATTTCTCAAGTTTTTCTCACTGATCACAATAGCTAAGTAGGAAGTCAGCTTGGGCATTTTTCCTGGTTTTGTCCTTACAGGAAGAAAGAACAGTAAGTTACTAGGAAAACCATAAAAATATATTGAATAAGAGCTTTTGTTTGAGCAGATGTAGGAAATTTATCAGTTTCCCCAAGAGGAAATTTTTAATTAAAATAACAACAGCAACACAAAAAGCAAAACTATCCTTAGAAAAAAACGTAGCTCATCCAATATTCCAAAAGGTTCACTTATTATATCTAATTCATAGTTTAGTTTTGGGGGCCATCATTCCTACCTGACACATAAAACCCGAGGCTCAGCCCCACGTTCTCAGCCAATAAACCCTGCCCCTTAAGGGAAGTAACTTCATGTTTTCTTGGCACTGTCTTTTCATGTGAAAATACCGAAGTACGCATAAACTCTCGGTTTGTCCTTAAACTTTCCTAATAAATATTTACAGTTTCAAAAGGTCACCAATGTCTTGCGTTTTCGAGTTCTTGCACAGAAATACCCGGCCCCCTGCCGTGGATCCAAAGAACATGAGTAACTCGTGGTCGATTTAAACGTCCGAGAAATTCCTTCGTAGCGCCCGAGGGTTTTCCCCGCAGTCACCGGAGGGAAAGAGCAGGTCTTGCTGGAACCACCTGCTTGACTCCCCGCTGGCTCCGTCTCAATCAATCCCGAAGCAGCAGAGCCGTGGCTGTGGACGGTGGGGATTTCTGAGAAAAGGGCTCCCACGGGTGAAACAAAGCCCAAGCGTGGCACCTGCCCACGCCCGGAGGGGGACGGGCGGGAGGCGCCCTTTCCCTCCCCGGCCTGGCCGCCGCGGGCGCCGCCACGTGCTCCCGAAACTGACCCGAAACAGACCAGTACCCGCGGCCCCGAGCGCCCTCTTTTGGGCGGGAGTCAAGCACCGTGACTTGGTTTCCTCGGTCCTTTAGCCCCCGGTCCAGCCTGGCGTGGGCCTCCGGCACTTCCCCCGGTCTAGCCCGCCACTCTCGGAGCCCTCGCGGCTGCCAGTCCCGCCGCCGGTTTACTTTCATATTTAGCTGGGTGCTACCCACAATGCATTTGTCAAAATAGTATGCAAAACAGTTAGTGATGAACATAATCCTTACAAATATTGCTCTAATAAGAGGGGGGTTTACATTATATTCAATCAGGAAGGTGTACACATGGTGTTTTGCATGATTGTGACATAGATCATGAAAAGCACCCTGACTTCAAAGCGAATTTCACTAGGGACTATAAATACTCAGAGACTAGACACTTTCTCCAGTTGGTCCGACGGTTGTGGGTTATTGTTAAGCTGATTAACATTGTCTCCCCCCACCACCACACTTGACTGACTGTGTGTTTTGCCCCACTCGACGGCGGTTTTTGTAGTACGTTCACTTTTCCTAAATGCATACAAAAGTAGCTCCTTAGTTTATAATCCGAAAGGAAAAGACAATCAAAATACCCTACTTGGTTGTTTTTTTTTCCTGGTAAAAAATCATCCAAGTGCCTGGGGAGAAAACTCAGCAGGATATACACCAAATAATTACGTGTTTACATAACTCTAGGGAGTGGGATTCCAGAGGAGGACATGTAAAGAAAATTTCAGGAGATACACAAAATTCGCTGCTATAAATTTAATAATTGTTTTTTTTACTAGTCTGTGAATGAGCAGATAATGACTTTTTTTTTTTGCACTAGCTTGTTTATTTGTTTCACATATACCAAGTGCATAGGTTCACAGACCAGGATCAGTATCCAATTAAAAACCAGGTAGTAAAGGAAGGGTGTATCAGTCTCCTCCTGCTCTGTGGCAAAACTTCCTGACCCCTCCCTAGTCCCTCTTTCCTGCCTGCAGGTGTTACCCAGCAGCTGTCACCTCTATAGTTCAATTGCTATGATCGTTTAGAGTCAATCAACTAAGAGCCTATCAACGGGTTCCAACACATTGGCTTCTTCATTAGCAAACGAACTTGACTGCTTTGTTGAGAAATGTGTGTCCTCTATTGTAAAAGTGCTCAAAAAATAAAATAAAAAATACTTGGAGTAAAGGCTCTGTTTACTAAATTTTGGTAGATGAAAAGGGCATCATTTGATGGTAATGAGCATGCTTAACTGGAGAGCCCCTATCACAGGCTCGTTGAAAATGGGTGCTTTGTACCAATCAGTCTGTTGAACTTAATACTTAAATCTAGGATTTAAAAGCATTCATACGCAAAGCCCCCCAATTCTAGGCACTAGGAATTCTAGAAGATCTAGAATACCAGAAGCTTGTTCAACATTATAAACTTGATAGGCATTTCAATAATCCATTTCAGGTGACTATAAAATCTCTATCACAAACCTGGCTGGTGTGGCTCAGATGGCTGAAACATCCTCCTGTAAACCCAGGGGTCATGCATTGGATTCCTGGTCAGAGCATATGCCTGGGATGCGGGTTCAGTCCCAGTCGGGCATGTGAGAGAGGCAACCAGTCGATGTTTCTCTCCTTCTCTCTCTCCCTCCCTTCTTTCCCTTCTCTCTAACATCAATAAGCATGTCGTTAGGTGAGAATTAAAAAATAATAATAAATAAGTAAAATCTATCAGAGGTCGGGCACAGTGGGAAGGAAAGGGACTAGAACTAAGCTTTTGCTTCTGTAATTTCAACCCATGACCTAGGCCCAAGATGACAATGATTAAGATCATGTTCTTATTGCCGTAATTTTCCCACAAAAGTTATGCAAGGAATCATGCAATGATCCTGCATTCTGGTATCTGTGTCCTTGACTGAGGCCTGAACTTACTGACTCATTGTAAGGAAAAGAATAAGGCAGAAGTAATGAAGTGTCCATGTGCATTTTATCTATCTATCTGTCTATGTTTTTTTCTCTTTCCACTATTGGCTATTATGTAACTATGTTACTTTGTTTTTGGAAATTGAGCGAACAGCATCAACGACATCATATATATTCTATATAGAAGAGAATTGGTGTTTTTGCTTATAATTATACAGGGTCTGGCACAAATAACACCTTGTTTTTATTACAAAAATATTTTATTACAAAATCATAAGTGTATAATTCTGTAACATAACAGTATCACAGTCAACCACACCATATGGCATTTTAGGTGGAATGTTCACAGTAAAACTCTAAATTATTACACTCATATTATTACCCTACCAACCACTCTCAGACAAGTGTTACGACTGCCAGACGCTGTATATACAGATAGATAACTATTAAAAACAAACAACAAAGAAAAGTAATGGGGTGTCACTTTTAAGATTAGGTCAGAAAAAGAGTGTAGATCTTTCTGTCTGTCTGTCTGTCTCTCTCTCTCTACTCCCCTTTCCCTTTGGGGGAGCCAGCTACTGTAGAGAACAGCCCTATAATACAGAGACAAGAATCTGTGTATACAACCAACAACCAATCGGGGCCTGAGACCATGTGAATGAGCCAGCAGCCATATGAGTGAACTTGGAAGTGGGTCTTTCCCCAGGGGAACCTTGGGATGACCACAGCCCTGGCCGACACCTTCATTTCAGCCCTGTGAGAGACCCCAAACACCCAATGAACTATGACCCGATTCCTGACCCATGAAAGACGCTGCGAGAAAATGCTCATTGTCTTACATTGCTCAGTCTTAGGTTAATTTATTAGGCAGCAATAGATACCTCATTGATGCACTTTCCGAAAAGGGCTGTCCCTGCTGATGCATATTTGGAACCCTCCTTCTGTTTTGAAAGTCTTCTTCAGAGTCAGAGTGGGAGCCACAAAAGGAGAAGGACCAAGTTACTTTAACCACACCGCATTTTTGCTGAGAATGTGCTTCCCAGCTCGATCTTATCACATTCACCATCCTTGACTTTTACGGATTTAGGGCTATTTTAGAAGTAAACCTGCTTTCCAATAAGGAAGATTCACTGCAACTAGGAATTCTGAAAAAGAACACGCCGTGGCTTCTGAAGACAGATTTCACTTGGTTTCGGATCTATTTTGGCCAATGGCAATGCCGCCACTGGGGTCATTCGCGCAAGGTGATGGTTTTGAAAGGGAGAATCCTCACATTGGCTGTTTAACGCACGGGTCGATCCACGAAAGATCTGGGCTGGGTTTATTTTGTATCTAACTAACACGTGACCCTTCTGTGTGGTGCCAGCATCTCTGTTTCATAGATGAGGCAACCAAGGTGGAAAACACTTGCAGGAACATACAGAGGAAGTGGCAGGGCCAGGATCTAACCCTGGCAGGCCTGGGCTTTGCCCTTTGCTACAAAGCTCTCTTGTTCCTTTGTGTTCGCTTTGTTTTCTAGTGGTATCTCACACCGTGACGGGCTCAAGACCACAACAAAGCACAGGTAGTTTCTTGTTCATCGTAATGCACTTCTGCCTCTACTCAAAGAACATTTCAAACTGATGGGTCTACAAGATACATGGCATATCAAATTGATGATCCTGCCTACATTCTTCTGTAACAGAAGGGGAAAGCAGCTGATGGTCGAATTTAGGAAGGTACAAGCCCAAACAGGCAAGGAAAGAGTTTGGTCTCTGTGTAGAACTGAATGACCTTTTCTTAAAAAAAAATTAGTAACATATCAGTTTGCGTAGAACTGTCCGTGCATTTGGCTAACCCGGGGTTCATAGGTCTAACTCCAGTGCTAGCAAAGCTCATGTCAGGGCTGGAGGCTGGCTTCTGAGAAGAGAGCTTTAGGGTGTGCTCCCATCTCAGACCTCAAAGGAAGCATGGAGCCCTGGCCGGTGTGGCTCGGTGGATTGAGGGCCGGCCTGTGAAGCAAAGGGTCACTGGTTCGATTCCCAGTCAGGGCACATGCCTGGGTTGCAGGCCAGGTATCCAGTAGGGGGCACACAAGAGGCAACCACACATTGCTGTTTCTCTCCCTCTCTTTCTCCCTCCCTTCCCCTCCCTAAAAATAAATAAAACCTTTGGAAAAAAGAAGTAAAAAGGAAGTACGGAGCTACAGCAGAAGTCTCCTTCGCCAATAACTCTTCCCTTTCGTCTGCTGCTGCCTAGCAGAGAGTCCATCCCGTCTGGCTGTAACCAAAGGGAAGGTCCGTCCTCCCGCCAACCCTCAGACCCTTGTTTTCATCTTCCCTGTATGTTGCCATTTAGCATATTGTTGTCTCATAATAATTTACAAACATGGTTAGTGTCCCCAGGTAGATTAGAACCTCCTTAGTGGCAAGACCGCAACTGGATCCATTTCACGAGCCTCGCCATGCCTTGTCCGTAGGCATCGCTCATTTTTAAGAAAACTTTTTCATCATCAATGAACACTTTCGATGCCCAGGGAGCCACAGAATCAGCTGCGGCAGGATCTAGGTTGGCTTCAGAGGTCATTCAAGCACCAGAAGATGCTCGATGTCCAGTCTTCAAGCTGCTACAGCCAACGTTTCAAAGATTCCAAACTGCTAGGCACATTCACGGAACTCGGCATGACTGAGGATCGGTCATGAACTTGACCCCTTTGCTGAGCTCCCAGATGAGAGCTCAGCGGACCCTATTATTTAACAATGGTGACTTGAGTTACATACACTTGTGCATTATTTAACAACATGCGTAACAGCACACAGGGACTTTTTTTGATTCAAGTGCACATCTCTCAATCCGGAAGAACTTGAATTCAAAAAGGATTCCATGTGTCCATACGCTAACCCTTGAGTTCTCCTTTTTCCACCCTTTGCATGGAGATATAAACACTCTTGTTTGAACAAGGACACTGTCAACAAATATTTCCTGGCCCCTGCTGTCGGTCAGCACTGTAGCAAGGAATATGAGACCAGAGAAATGACCTCTGTCACTGGCTAAATACTGAGACTCACCTGCCACTGTGTCTCTCTAAAGCACAAAGTAACTCCGAAGTACGATGTAAGGTCCCCACCGTAGCGCAGTTTAGAGATGAGGAACCCCAGACAGCACGGGTTGGGCAGGTTGAGTAGAACTCACTCTCACCTGTGCATCCGGAGATGCTCAGTGGGGAGAAAGGACCCAACCAGGACAGGGCTCCGGTTGTCTGATGC